TTCGCAAACTAACGTACCGGGCAGCCTATCGAAAAGCCTAAAGCTCGTCCTAGCCATGCTAAAAATGGAAAATAACAACCAATGTATTTAAAGTGCACAACCAAAATAAACAACCAGCGACCTATCATCGTCTCTAGAAAGGAAAAGGCAATCAAAAGCCCCAAAGTAAAGCCCTAATGTCTTGTCCGATTTTTGAGAATTTTTTAAAGGATTTTCTCAATTTTTACGAATTTTAAACTAAGCCCAGAATGAAATTAAAACTAATATCTAGTGAAATCAAGCCCAAAAAGTGATTTTTGAAAAAAAAAACATTTCCTAATTTTCTGAATTTTTTGGAATTTTTCTAATTTTTCTGAATTTTTTAATGTTTTTGAATTTTCTGAATTTTTTTAATGTTTTTTAGATTTTTTTTTAGATTTTTGGGTTTTTTGATCATTTTCGAATTTTTTGGATTTTTTGGATTTTTAAATATTTTTAAATATTTTTTTGAATTTTTGAATATTTTTAATGTTTTAGTATTTTTAAGAATATAAACCGGGTCCCCTGACCCGATCCGCCCGACACCTGACCCGGGATCCGCATTCCCACTCCTTTTCTATTTTTTATTCTTTTCTTTTGATTTTCCTTTTTTCTTTTTCTTTTGTTTCTTGACTTTTTCTATTTGTTTATTACTTTTTCCTCCCCCTCTTCTCTTCTGCCATGCACTTCTGCCATGCACGTTCTTTTCTTTCCCAGAACCCCCTATCCCCGAGAGCTTCCCTCTTACACCCGGAGTTTCACCTCCGGCCACCGAACACCACTGCCAGCCGTCGACCTCCAACGTCGACAGCCACCCCTCGTTGGTCGTCGCGCCACCGCCGAAGGCCACTACCCGACTATCACTGAAGCGATTCCGGCGACACCGTTATCACCAAAGAGACATACCAACTCAAACACCGCTCTAGCAAAATAAACAGCCAAAAACCAACACATGCACGCTAAAGATGAGGAGGAACACGCTGGCTAAGGCGGCCACGAGCCGTGGGCTTCGTCGACGCGGGAAAATCTCTCCGATGGGAGGATGCGTATGTGAGACCAACTCGGACGATGCACGAACAGTGGCATAAAAACACAGGCAAAATACCAGATCAGGCACGAAATATCAATCCAAGCTCGAACGAAGCATAAAATGAAGATTACATAGACGGATCTTGGTGATATTGGTCTCGGCCTTCGTTCAGACATTTTATCAAACAAGTGGTAGGCGAGTTCGGATAAAGGCTTAAAACTGGTCGTGAACGTGGTTTTTGGCTCAAATGTGATATGTAAAGTTCTAAACAACCATATTACACCAAAGAGCTAGTTCATTTTACAAAAAGACTTTAAAAAATCACCACGACCAGATTTGACACTCCAAGCTTAAACTGTTTCACTGAGACACTTTATCAAACATGTGCGGTACAACCGAGGAATGGGGTTACAGATCCGATTTTAGCAAAACTCATGGAGTGTTCTCGGTGTGAAATGTTTAAAACAGCTTCTTTGAGTATCAAACGAGCACGAGTATCCATCAGTGGGGGCCGAGCGGCCATCGAAATAGGCTCGATGTGCCCGGCATCCGAGAGGCAAGGGAAAAACAAGGGAGGCACGAGTCTCACCTGGTCGTGAACGGCACGGAATCAACGATGGTGACGAGATGCGCAGCTGACTCTGCTCGTTTGCGGCAACTAAGCGCGATTTCTTCGATGATTTGATACCGAAACGGACGCTCTTGAAAAGAGGTGTTCGTTTAAGTAGATGATTCAAGGTGACGGGTGAGCGACCGAGAGGGGGACGAGATTTGCCGGTCACCGGGAAGGGACCGGAACGCTCTCGTCGAAGAAAGACCCCTCTATCAAGCCGAGCTCTTTCTCTCTTTTCTCTTCTCCCTATCTCTGTTTTTTCTTCTCAGTAACTTCCACTGTTCTTCCTTTTCCTTCTCAATCTCCTATCCCCCCGTATCTCTTGCCAAGCCTCCTCCTTTTAGATTCCCGCCGGTCGTCTCTCTTTGGTGTCCCTCCAAAACGGTCCCCGATCAGTCAACGAAGCCAGCTCTTTTTCTTTCTATTTTCAGCTCAAAGCTGCCGTTGATCAGCCTGCCCTCACTGCTCTGTCTCTGTTCTCTGTCTCGGTCAAAATGCATGCGAGAATGAGAGAGGAAGAGAGGCTGGGCTTGGGGGAAAAAACACAAGAGGAAAAAGGGGGGCCGGGCCGAGCTGGGCCTAGGCGTGAAGAAAAGAAGAAAAGGGGCGGCTGGGCCGACCCGGCCCTGATTCACCTCCCTTTTCTCTCTTTTTAAAAAAAAAAATTAGAAAACAAAGAGAAAATATGTCCTAATAAATTCTACTAATGAAAATACACCTAGTGTCTACATGCTATGTAATTTAATGAAAATTATTTTTGATTAGGGGTTAAAAATTAATTCCTAATTTTCTAGGCACTTAAATCCTAAATGGATAGCCAAAATTTAGGTGTCAACAAACACACCTCAGGACGGGTTTAATTCCCCGCGTAAAATGCATTAGGGATTATATTATCACACGTGCACACATTTTCCATTTATTTTCTGGACCCCGCGTAAAAACGCTTCAGGGTATTTAATGATCATGCAACATGTCGGGGCACCCAATCACATGCCAACCTCACACGATCAACTCGCACACGACACCCAAAGTATTTAAATCACCAACAAGCCACATTAATCCACAAATTCATCAATTCCACTTGCACAAGCTCAATTTAACACAATTTCCATATTCTAGTATAATTTTCACCAATCAAGGGCGTCGTACTTATGCCACAAATCTCGATTCACCACATATAGTAATTCAAACATAAGCATGCCGCAATTCAGCCACAATATGCACGTTAATTCAGCCACCACAGAAAAATCACTAAAACGGCACATTTAAGCCTGTTTTTCACGCAATAATTCCCAATAATAACTCGTAATCACCCCAATCACCATCTTAATCAATTCTAACCTCAATTCCACCTCTAAAATTATCACAAATCCTTCCAAACAACTCAGCCAACTCAGTCCACCAATTTCTCCACGAATAACCCCTAAAACTCGCTAAAACGGCCCCGAACTAACCCGAAATTATCCGTTATCCTAGGCGAGGGTTAGGATATCACTTACCCGGAGTCCTAAGCTAGATTTAGCAACCAAGGGTGGCTGAACAAGGGAGAAACAGCAACGGCGGCGTCAACAAGCGACGAGGGACACCGACGGTCTCATGGTGACCATGGATGAACGACGACGGACGGACGGACGTGCGGCGGCGGCCAAGGGCGTGGCCGGCTGGCCACTTTCACATGAGGGAGAGGGGGAGGGGAATTCGGCCAAAGGGAGAGGGAGAGAGAGGGAGGCGTGAGAAAAATGAGGGGAGAAAGAGAGAGAAGAATAAATAGGTTAGAGAAAAATGCTAGTCTAAGCCTACCCCCAACGTGGAATTACCAACCTACCCTCCTTTCTACTTTCCATCCGACGGCCACGATTCAACCTTATCTTAAAATCGACGGCCAAGATCAACTTTCACAAAAAATATCCAGGGTAAAATAGGAATTTCACAAAAATGTAGGGGCAAAATCGTCCAAAAATTTATATCTCCAATGTTGGTATGAAATGACCAAAATGCCCTTCTCATTTTACACTTGGTCTTCACAAAATCCCAAGGGCAAAACGGTCATTTTCCACTTCCTGTCAAAATTTCAGTTTTCTGACGAATCCGGACAAATCCGAGGCTAACCACGTTAATAATGACGTCATCCAATTACTCTGTCATGACTTTCAAAATTTTCAACACCCAAACTCAGTCTTTATTTAATAGCCAAACTCAAATAAACGCGACTTGAGCTTATCTTAAACTAACGGGTGGCTTTTGGGAAAATCCGTACATTCGACCCGTGGTCGATACTAAATCGAGCCACGTTTAAGTTCACTTGAGTCATGACAACCTCGATTGTCATGTAATTGCGAGGATCAATCATTAGTTCTAAAGAACGCGATCGTTTGGAATAGGTTTGAGATCATTCGCAAAGTTCGTATTCTAGCGAGGCGGAATCACTCGCGATCCAATTATACGGCATTCACAAATTGATCCATGACCATCCTTAGATCCATCTATATTAGCCCAAAATATCACCTCGACAATCCTTATGGTCGAAAGTCAGTCCATGGTCAGGTTCTACGGCCACGCGAATCTGGATCCTTAATTAGCCTTTCCCTACTAGTTAGTGTCTCAAGAATGATCAAGTCTGGGCGAGATTTACTACAAATTATTGAAATTATGCATTTCATAAATACCAAGTGGGTTGAAATTTAGAATATCACAACTCTTCCCCCCTTATAAAAATTTCGTCCTCGAAATTTACATTCCAAGCCAAACTATACAAACAACTGGGAGTAATGACGTCTCATCAGGTCCTCGCTTTCCCAAGTAGCGCCTTCGGTCCCGTGATGTTCCCAAATCACCTTGACAACTGGATTAAATTGGATCACCCTGCTATTACAATCCATTACGGCCCTCTGCTTAGTCAACCAATCCATACCCACAATCACATCGAAATCAAACATAGGTAGAACAGCCAAATTTATTCTTTCTTCTACATCACCAATCACAATTTTGCAATCCGAACATCCTAGCGAAACAAGCACTTTATCATTCAACGGAGTAGCAACATATAGCACAACATCAAGCGGTCTTGGTTCTATTCCAGTCAATCTAATGAATTGCTCAGACACAAACGAATGTGACGCCCCCGAATCAAACAAAGCATATGCAGCATGATCATAGAGAGAGACCGTACCTGTGACCACGCCTGGCGCGTCCTCAACTTCCTTTCTCGCCATGGCATATACTCGTCCTTGGGCTGCCGGCCTATTCTGATTAGTCGAAGGGGCAACTCCAATTCGATTTCTTGCCGGGGCGGCTGTAACTGTACAGGCGGCTGAGTTTGCCTGAGGTTGGGGCAATTTCTTATGTGATGGCCCATTCTGCCACATCCAAAACAAGCTCCACCTCTATTCGGGCAAGGTCCATTACCATGCCTTTGTCCACACAGACGACACGGGCTATTCTGAAAGCGATTCGGCTTACCGATGGTCCTCTTAACAGAAGGAATAAAACGCTGATTCCCCGACATCGATCTCTTCCCGAAATTACGATTGTCCCTAACCGGAGCATATCTCGATCCAGAAGCAGCGGCTCTATCCGCTAAGTCACGCTCAATCGCTTGAACCCGCTCATAAATCTCATTATAATCTCCTAAATTCAAAGATACCATCTGACTACGAATGTCCGGTTTCAACCCATCTCGGAAACTTCGGGCCTTATCCCATGGATCTTCCATCATTCTCGGGGCAAACTTGGATAATCTAGAAAATTCTGCCTCGTACTGATCCACAAACATTTGTCCCTGATGCAATCTCATGAATTCAGCCAATTTTCGTTTCCGGGCACTCTCAGAAAAGTACTTTCCATTAAAGACTTCCACAAACATCGCCCAAGTTTGAACGACACCTGCGGGGAACACTCGACCCCTGGTGGCTTTCCACCAATCACTTGCATTTCCTTGCAATTGATACACTGCTAAAGTCACTTTCTCCTCATCCGTACACCCAAAAACCTCAAAAGCCTTTTCTAATGCTTCCATCCAAAGCGATGCAATCTCGGGATCGCCTTTACCATCGAACTTCAGAGGTTTCAACTTCAAGAACTGCTCAACTAATTGGTGCATCTGCCTATTCGCATTCACTTGTCCCTGACCTTGACCCTGATTCCCATTATTGGCAACAGCAGGTGTTGCAGCGGCTTCAGCAGCTTGGGCAATAGTGGCAGCTCGTTCCTGAGCCTGCCGTCCCATCAAATTTCCAATCTCTTCTAGGGTTCTCATGACCGCATCCATTCTCGGATCTCCCACAGGTTGGGCTTGCGAACTTGATTGGCCTCTTGTCCCTCTACCTCTCGAACTCATCCTCACATTTTTCTATCACTCACCTACCTGCTATAATTCCACTCGGGAATTAAAGACCTAGGCCAACTATATTAGTTTATGATCCTAAGCAGTGAATTATCTCGATAATTCACTTAACAAGCAATCAATCACCACAACACGAGAGCACAATCAGTAAGTTTCGTGCACGTACCTCAGGTCCAGACGCACCTACAACTCAACCGATAAAGCACTTAATTCACCCATCAATCATAACAAACAATCCAGAGACACGCGTAGCGCTAGACACACCTATGACTTACTAAGGTCTTCCCAGATAGCTACCCCGGGGTCTCCGCTCCTTATCACTCCAGGCTTCGACCAACTTGGATTGAGCTAACCATGCTCTGATACCAAATTAACGGGGATGTCACGCCCTGAACCCCGGCGAGCGCGCGACACCCCGAGCTCGGTCGAAATAGTGCGACGTCCTAGGAACATTGCCGACCCAAACCAACACATCAGAGTTCGAACAAGGCGGAAATGAGAACATAAACCCTGACAATATATTCATGGGGTAATAGGGACAGACAAATCACCAAACCACCAAGCACTATATTACACCGCGATATATACAATATTCATTATAAACCATCACCACCAGCAACCTCTGCACCAACAACTACTGATATAAAAAAGGACTAGCGGCTTCGATAGACTATCACTTACTCCAAAAAGGGGCGCCTCTCAAAACTGTCCAACCCCTAACTTCTAACTAACCCCTATTCGCCCTAGAGGGGGTCCACTCAGAATGAGTCTCGTCGATGCCAGTCTGTTCCTCTAAAGACTTGGACTCAGCATTGATCTCAATCGGATTGTCCTTGTCTCCCGACTTTGCTGGAACTTCGATCGGCTAAATGGTTTTAAATAAAACCGTGAGAACACTTCTCAGTAAGCGAAACCCTAAACCCCACCTAGGTTAACACGTATCTCTGGACATGTTCGAGCACACAAATCATATAACTATCAAGCTAGAACAATAGCAGGCACAAATGTCTCACCTTGATACACACGAAATCTTACATGCGAATTCAAGCATTATTACCAGGAACCGATACCATGTCGCACTCAATAATACCAATCAAACCATATTCATGCCCACATTCGCATAACCAACACAACATCATACGATTCCCATTTCACTCGAGCACACGCATCCAATTCATTTCTGACCCGCGTAAACACGCCTCAGGTCCAAAAACTAGCCATCGATCTCTGATCCGCGTAAACACGCCTCAGGTCCAACAACACTTCTATAGCCCGCGTAAACGAACACGCCTCAGATTCAGTGTCTCTAGCCCGTGTAAACGAACACGCCTCAGGTGCAACACCGATCTCCCTTTTTATAACACAACCGCGTAACACGTATGAGGTTGAACAACACTTCTATAGCCCGCGTAAAAACGCCTCAGGCGCAATACCGATCTCCCTTTTTACTGCACAACCCGCGTAAAACGCATCAGGTTGGCGGTCTTCCGGTAAAACCGGGCATCGTCCCGCTAACACGCCTCAGGACGGGTTTAATTCCCTGCGTAAAACGCATCAGGGATTATGTTATCACACGTGCACACATTTTCCATTTATTTTCTGGACCCCGCGTAAAAACGCCTCAGGGTATTTAATGATCGTGCAACACGTCGGGGCACCCAATCACATGCCAACCTCACACGATCAACTCACACACGACACCCAAAGTATTCAAATCACCAACAAGCCACATTAACCCACAAATTCATCAATTCCACTTGCACAAGCTCAATTTAACACAATTTCCGTATTCTAGGCCAATTTTTACCAATCAAGGGTGTCGCACTCATGCCACAAATCCCGATTCACCACATATAGTAATTCAAACATAAGCATGCCGCAATTCAGCCATAATATGCACGTTAACTCAGCCACCACAGAAAAATCACTAAAATGGCACATTTAAGCCCGTTTTTCACGCAATAATTCCCGATAATAACCCGTAATCATCCCAATCACCAACTTAATCAATTCTAACCTCAATTCCACTTTTAAAATTATCACAAATCCATCCAAACAACTCAGCCAACTCAGTCCACCAATTTCTCCATGTATAACCCCTAAAACTCGCTAAAACGGCCCCGAACTAACCCGAAATTATCCATTATCCTAGGCGAGGGTTAGAATATCACTTACCCGGAGTCCTAAGCTAGATTTAGCAACCAAGGGTGGCTGAACAAGGGAGAAACAGCAACGGCGGCGTCAACAAGCGGCGAGGGACGCCGACGGTCTCATGGCAATCACGGACGAACGACGACGGACGGACGTGCGGCGGCGGCCAAGGGCATGGCCAGCTGGCCACTTTCACATGAGGGAGAGGGGGAGGGGAATTCGGCCAAGGGGAGAGGGAGGCGTGAGAAAAATGAGGAGAGAGAGAGAGAGAGAAGAATAAATAGGTTAGAGAAAAAGGCTAGTCTAAGCCTACCCCAAGGTGGAATTACCATCCTACCCTCCTCTCTAAATTCCATCCGACAGCCACGATTCAACCTTATCTTAAAATCGATGGCCAAGATCAACTTTCACAAAAAATATCCAAAGGTAAAATAGGAATTTCACAAAAAGTGCAGGGGCAAAATCGTCCAAAAATTTATATCTCTAAAGTTGGTATGAAATGACCATAATGCCCTTGTCATTTTACACTTGGTCTTCACAAAATCCCAGGGGCAAAACGGTCATTTTCCACTTTCTGTCAAAATTTCAGTTTTCTGACGAATCCGGATAAATCCGAGACTGACCATGTTAATAACGACGTCGTCCAATTACTCTATCATGACTTTCAAAATTTTCAACACCCAAACTCAGTCTCTATTTAATGGCCAAACTCAAATAAACGCGACTTGAGCTTATCTCAAACTAACGGGTGGCTTTCGGGAAAATCCGTACATTCGACCAGCGGTTAATACTAAATCGAGCCACGTTTAAGTTCACTTGAGTCATGACGACCTCGATTGTCATGTAATTGCAAGGATCAATCATTAATTCTAAAGAACACGATCGTTTGGAATAGGTTTGAGATTGTTCGCAAAGTTCGTATTCTGGCGAGGCGGAATCACCTGTGATCCAATTATACGGCATTCGCAAATCGATCCATGACCATCCTTAGATCCGTCTATATTAGCCCAAAATATCACCTCGACAATCCTTATGGTCGAAAGTCAGTCCATGGTCAGGTTCTATGGTCGCGCGAATCTAGATCCCTAATTAGCCTTTCCCTACTGGTTAATGTGCCAAGAGTGATCAAGTCTGGGCGAGATTTACTACAAGTGCGTTATTGAAATTATGCATTTCATAAATACCAAGTGGGACGAAATTTAGAATGTCACACGCCGTCTGCTGTCGCCACTGCCTGCCGTCCGCTGTCGCCACCGCCTGCCGTCCGCTGTCGCCACCCTCGCCAACCGCCATCCGCCATCCGCTGGACTCCGTCGCCGCTAGTTGATGAATGGAAAAAATCGTGAAAGGAATAATTTATCAAATGAATTTATGTTCCGAGAAGAAAAATTTTGTTTCGTTATCAAATGCCTATCTTTGTTGAGAATTTTGTCAACGGAATAGAAATAGAAATCATAAATTGATTTCTAGAACAGAATGGTTATCATCCGTGCCCTAATTATTTATTTTTCTAAGCTACGATTCGTACACAATAAAATAAAAATCATTTATCAATTACTGTATGGTCGAAATTTTCTAACTATATTGCAAAAAAATACAAGCCTATTTTATTGGATCGTTGGAATCATATGAAGCTCTGTTGGTTATTTTGGCCCTTTCACAAGAAATTAATTTCACTAAAATCATTTGAGTGCTTAATGTGATCGCTTCCAATCTACGGCCCACTCTGTGATCACTTCCATTAAATAAATAAATAAAAAAGCTTTGGCTGCAATGCGCGTCAGTTGGTGTGGTATTCGTACGATTTACCAAGTTGATGATCAAAATTTTCATTTTTCCCCTATCTTGCCAGCTTTTAATGAGTTAAAATAAGTATTTTTTATGAAATTATTGTTTGAACTCGGTTCAAAATGGATTTCAGCGATTTGAGCTGTGCACGTCACACAAATCGCCAGCTATAATGATCCCATCGATAGTGAACTGAGTTTACACTGGACTATGTTTGATTCGTGACAGTGCCAGTAAAGCATGACGGCCATGACTAAAAACAAATGCTTTTAAGGCTAAATGCTCGATGGTCTCCTGACTGTTTGCTACTCGATCTTCTTAAAAAATTTCTATTGGTACAAAATTAGTAGCACTCGTTAAAAAAAATTACTAACTCGTTGGAACTACCCTGTGCTCATTAACATGAGATTGTACAAGAACACCCGACCTTGTAGACTTTGAGGATATTAATTGGATCACGTGGCCATGCAAATCAAAGTGTAGAGGTTTTGTGTCCATGCATATTTTTGTGCTCATTAAATGAAAGTCTTTCACCACTCACATTTTGTGTGATGAGAACATAATTCATGACTGTGGTTTTGTCTAACTTGCCTAGATGAATAATTGCATGTCGTACGATGACAAACGAAACAAGGCAACAAAAGGCTTTTTTCCTCTCCTCTCTATTGAGAAATTTGATTGAATGACATACGATCTCAAACTGGCCTTTTGCTAATAGATATTCTCAAGTAATTGGTCTTTTACTGGGAAAAATATAAAAAAAAATCCTAAATTTATTGCATCGATACCAATTCGATGCTAAATTTTTTAATTGAACCAATTTAGTCATATATCTTTTTACATCAGTACCAACTGAGGGCCCCTTATAAAGATTTTCGCATGCCCACCATTCAAGAAAAGAAGGGGTAATTAGAAGTTAACCACTTCGGTCTCTGGTCGAATGTAATGTTTTGAGATCCTTACCGGGCCGGTACGTGGTTCCACCA